TTTAAAGAAAAAGCAAATAATACTTTTTGCTACAAACTAAATATCAGTACTTTCTAAGTTTATGGTTAAAAAAAAATACGTATTTGGTGGTGGTGGGCCACAGCAACAGAGAAGAAATTTGTGAACACTGCCCCTCAGTAGTCTATGAAACTCTTAAGAAAATATAGTATACACAGAAACAAACATTAACTGTTAGAAGTACCTCTTTCTCCAAATACTTTCTAATATATTTTAAATGAATATAATCTGCAGTTTGCAAAAAAAACATCTTGAGAGAAAGTAATCAAACTTCTGTACATGTACAAACTCTTTCCAATAAAAGGATTTAACAAGTTAAGGATAGTTATTTCAGTTAACAAAGTAGAGGTACAGATTTTTTATAATAAATTAAGGGAATTAACAGGTTTTTTTGGACCACTGATAAACTTTTCAGTTAGTCTATTTCAGTTGATTCTTTCATTCTTGTCATTTCCATGATCAGAATTCTCAGCTTGAACTAACCCCAGTTGATCATGGGATTAAAGCTAAGTATTGCAGACTCCTAGCAAACAGCAAAGTTTGTGAAAGGCCGAATAATTCCTTTATGATTTGTTATGTGTAATCTATAAATATCCCAACACGTTTATTTCAGTAGACACCATTAACCTCATGGAGAAAAGAGTCCATGAGACATAACAGCTTTGTTCCTTCTTTCTACACCACAACACATACTGAAGAGGATGGTACCTGCATTATCTCCCATTACAGAAACGCCAATGTTCCCTTTTGATTCAAAGCCTGCCTCTTTACCTTGTTTCACTTTACCTCCAGAGATCTTACTCCATCAGTTTTTCTATTCTTATCTTCACACCTTTCTCTTTCTCTGTACATCATTAGTTCCTTACCATCTGTAACATAAATGCAAAACTAAGCTCCTGACACCATGTTGCACCTTCAGGTACCACTTTTTTGCTATTTACAGCAAAGGTTTTGACAGACATGTACTAAATTCATTCGTTTCTTTACTTCTTTTATTTTTTATTCTACTATAGTCTTTTAACTTCTTGAAAATAACTTCAAAAGATTCAATAAAGTTGAAAGATTAAAACTAGTACAAAATCTATGTATCCTTTATCCAGATTCACCTATTAACATCCCCCCCCCTTCTGAACCATTTAAGAGTAAGTAACAAACATCATAGCACTAATCCTCAACACTTCAGTTCTACCTTAACCTTGTTTCTATTTCTCATGTTCTCCTAACACTGCTTTTACTGTAGCACTAATAACTTAGACTGCTAAATCAAACAGGCACTTTTTATTCCTCCTCCTCCTTTATCTGTGCCTTTTCTTCCTGAAGCTCCCCATTTCTCTGGTTTCCCCGTGATAACTCTGTCCTGTATTTTCTCATCCTGTTCCAGCTACTCTTCAAACTTCTCCAAAGTTACTCCTCTCTGTGCTTAGCTCATTCTTACAGCCTATGCTCCTTCCTTCGTATACTTTCTGCCCTGAAATCTCTAGTTTTCCTGTGTGATAAGAGTCCATATTTATAGCATTCAATCTCATATCTGCTGATAGTTACCAAATACATAATCTTTCCTGAGTTCCAGACATTTGTTTCTAACTGCCTAATAAATCTATTTATCAGATGATAAACCAAACAGATACAAAAATACATTTGGCATCCCCTCTCACTCTCCCAAACTTTGTTCCTTCTTCCTATATTCCTTCATTTGGTTAAGTGGTGTATCTATTTATTAAGTCCCACATATGGCTATCCCCAGCTGCCTCCTTTTCCCCTATTCTGTACATCTGTCTGTCCACATATTCTGATAAACTCTCAAATCTTCTTTCTTAACATTGGTACTACCTTAGTTTAAGCCCTCATCTTTTCTCTTCCAGGCTATTAAAGTAGATATCTAATTAATTTTTCTCTCACTGCTCCAAATTCACCCTCTACACTGACACCAGAGTCTTTTCAGGAGTATACTACTCTCCTTGCCCTTTGGTGCCTTTCCACTTACTGCAGGATTTAAAAATAGTATGAGAGTTTCATCATGATTTGGCTTCTATCTTCCTTCTATCCATCATTACACAATTTCCACATACACATTCCAGCCCTGCATATTCCAAACTACCCATTCTTCCAAAATGGGCTATTTTCTACTGACCATGTACTTTTGAAAGTATTTCTTCTGTCTTGAACATAATTTAAAGCATTTGAAATTCTCCCATTAGTGACCCATTTTTAAAAAGCAGCTAAAATGATCTAAATGGCTTGTGGAACTACAACAATGTTCCCAAACAATAGCTTTAGGCCACGTAAGAGGTTTTTTTGCAGTACAACCCATAATGGCACAGGCAGAAAAGTCTATGTGTCTCTGTCAGTGAAATAACTACAATAGGATTACTACAGATTTTTAAGTTCTCCACCAACAAACACATTTGTATAGACTAATATTAAAAATGAGTTAAATTGTCAAAATATGAAAAAAAAATTTCTAGAGCTCCTTAATTTTCTAACGTCTTTAAGCTATTGATAGAAAGTGATTCTTCAGGTCCATAATGTAAGTGTGCCCCCTTTTATAAGAAATAGGAGAAAACCCCAAAAATCATACGAAGTCACAGAGCTAAATTAAATAGTGCCGTACTGAAAAAAAAATCCATGCAGAGCAAGTTTTAACTTGGGAAAAAAATTTCTATGCGACTTTAACACTTTCTCAGTCCAAGACTATGGGAGGGCAATACACTCATACCATAGGGCATGAACATTATTAATAAAGGTTCTCAAAGCAATGACTAGCTGAAATAACTATGGGAGGCTTTGAAGTTAACTAAGTTTTAATTGTAACATAAAATTTATGTAGTTAAATTAAAAAGTAGGTTACACAAAACCACAGTTAAGATAGCACTTTACACTCATTAGGATGGCAATTATGAAAAAAGCAGAAAATAACAAGTATTGGTGAGGATGTGAATTTGGAACTCTCCTGCACTACTCCTGGAAGTGTAAAATAGTGCAGTTGCCATGGTAAAAAGTATGGTGGTTTCTCAGAAAATTAAACAAATTCCACAGGATCCAGAGATTACATTTCTGGGTATATATACTCATAAGAACTGAGAGCAGGAATTATCACATATTTGTATACTAATGTTCATAGGAGCATTATTCACAACAGCCAAAAGTTAGAGACAACCCAAACGTCTATCAACAGATGAATGGATAAACGAAATGTGCTATATGTCCTATAATGTAATATTATTCAGCCTTAAAAAGGGATGAAATTCTAATACATACTACATGGATGAACTTCGAAGACATTATGATAAATGTAATAAGCAGTCACAAAAGACAAATACTGTATGATTCCACTTATGTGAGGTACTGAGAACAGTCAAATTCTTAGTGACAGAAAGGGGGATGGTGCTGCTAGGGGCTGGAGGAAGGGAGAAATTGGGAGTTGTTTAATAGGTACAGTTTCTGTTCGAGAAGATGAAGAGTTATGGAGATGGAAGATAGTGATGGTTGCGTAACAATAACAATGTGTATGTACTTAATACCATTAACTATCACTTAAAAAGGGTTAAAATGGCAAATTTTGTCATGTGTACTTTACTCCAATTAAAAAAAATTGTTTTTAAGTGGGTTACATACATAATCTCACATTAAATGGGAAAACCCACTACAAAGCTCTTGACCATCAAAATCTCCATATAATCTTGTGTTTTTATTACTATCAGGAAACAAGCATCATTTCTGTAAAGAGTACTGAACTTGTAGTTATTGTTCAGTCTCACTGACTTCTGCAGTTGATTGCTGGCCAACCCTTCCTTTACTGTTTCCTGTAATACTTGGAAACAGACTTTTATCAGATTTTTTAAACAGGCGAGACATTTTATATGGGAAAGGAAGGTTATTTCCTTAAAAAATATATATATATATATATGTTTCCTTCTGATATACTATTGGATGAAAACAAAATAATTTAACATTTTATATATTCAATGTCTGCAATCTGAAAATAATCCCACAAAAGCCCTAAAGATTGTAAGACTAGAAACAAACTTAAAAATTTGCTCTTCATAGCTATTTTTTTTATAATGTGAAAAATTATATCCCTTCTAATCCTCTGAATTCTGAAATTTGAAAACTTTTTTTTATTTTAACCTCAATAATCCCCTTGCTTCTCATTTTCCTTCATCCCTCTCCCCGAAAACCTTCAGGTATATCCTCTCAGTAGCAATCCTGAATTCTGTACACATTCAAACACCTAATTTTCTTTGCTTCTGGGCTGCTATGTGTCACTAAAAAATCACCTATAACAATGCCACACCATTACATATTTATTGTCTCCAAACTGAACTTTTCTGGCAGGCTGTTTATCATGTTTTTCTATTTGCCCTTAACTTCTGTAGTAGACACTAGGACTGTTCACATGTATTTCAGTTCAGCTTCCAAGTGCCTGAAGAAATGCACTTTACCCCTCTCTTTGAAATGAGTCCTGGCTGTAAGATTTGCCTTGGCCCATGAGATGTAAGTGGAAGTGCATGTATCACTTCTGGTTTGAAGTTGTAATTTTATGTGAATTACACAAAATTCTCCATGTGTGTCCTTCTTCAGTTCCTCTCCCCTCAATACTGCAATGATAAGAGACGCATTTGTGGAAAAGAAGTCCCATCAGACTGGAGCTCTGAGTGATTACTAGGAAGAGGCTCCATGCTGACTTCCAGTGGACACATATCATGAGTAAGAAACTAACTGGTGTTACAACATTGGGATTTTTGAGGTCATTACTACTGCATAGCCTAGGATCTAGCCTACCCCCAACTGACAACTCCCCTTTGCCCATCCCCTGAAGTAGCTATTTCCACCCTTTAAAATATTTTAAGCATGAACTCTCCCAACTTAAATCGTTACTGCTCATAAACTTATCAGTAAAAGGACTGTTAGCTTCTTTATTCTTGTTACCACAATTTATTCTTTACTGCTACTAATACAATATACTTCACAGAAATTTTTACCTTCCAAGGGGTTTTTGCTCTGTTGAGAGGTACAGTTCACATATTCTATATTTAGGTTGTTTATCTTATTCTGGTCACTAGAAAACAGAACAAAACACACACCAAACTCATCAGCTATCTAGGATTACTATTTTAGTTTATTCTAATTAAAAAAGGAATTCACATTTATTAAACAATTACTATATGCCATGTGCTGGTATAGGGGATTAAAGTACATTATTTAATTTACATCTCAGATCAACACTTAGAAACAGTTACTATCCTCCTCATTCTACAATAGGACATTAAGGCTGTGAAAATCAATTTGCCCCATGATTAAAAACCAAATCTACCTTATTCCAAAATCCTGATCTTTCTCCTCTTTCCAAGAAGTATTTATGAAATTACCCTGCCAAATGAAATCTCCATAAGTCTTTATTGGAATAATTATTTAAATAAAACACAAGCAGTTGAATTTTGCAAATCTGCCTTTTCAACAGTAAATGTGGTAAAACACCAGCTACTATCAAATTAAGATACAGATGCATTAAAAGCAGAAATAGTGGTTAGACCAGCCTAAGAAATCAACCAATTAAGCTGTGGACATGTTTTAGAGGTTACACAGAGACATTCAAATGTGCTGATAACAGTAATATGATAAGTGTATTAAGAATTGAACACAAACTTGGCTATTTGCCTGTATTGTTTTACGTTTGGTAAAGGAAAAATATCTCCTCTGTGAAACTGGGTTGTGATAGTAAAAAATAACCCCAATTCTGAGTTAAGATGATAGAGATGGAATAATGAGCATTAGATTGAAGAATTAAACAATTAGTTTAATGACTGAGATGCAACCAATTAAATCTATGCTTTAAAAACCTGTAGTCTGTAACAAGTTTCTGGTGACAACAATGATAACATATTTCTGTACTTTCTAAATTTCCTAAATATCAGGAAAAAGTTATTAAAAATAGAAACTCAAGGTTTCCATTTGAGGGAAAATTCCCTCAAATAACAAGAGAGAATGGCAGGGGAAAAAAATCACTCACTGAGTTTGTGTATTACCTGAAGGATACTGCTTCTTTAACATTACTGACATCCATTACTGTACCATTTCCATCGATAACAGGTGAGTCCAAATTAGCAGATCCATTACTGATATGATCACTGCTTTCATATCCAGACTCAGTCCTTTGCATCTGCCAACTATCACCATGAACTTTAGAGTCTTTGAGGCTTTTATTTTTCTCTGCTCCTTTTCCATTAGATTCAAGGGAACTCCTGCTTCCTATTTCCTGCTTCATTTCATCTTCGTATATGGTCATTAAACATTTCTGCTTTGGATTCTCTTTCGGCCAATTGTTAAAACTCTGATCTTTGCTACATTTAGGCTTGTTACTAATATTTGATTTATGCCTTGGACTATGCTGTCTTTTCTCACTTTCATTAAAAATACTATCAACATTTAATGTTTCTCTCATAGGTTTCCAACCACGGTTCTGGCTTTTACTGTTGCCATTATGGCTGCTTCCTTTATCCCTAGAATCTTGGCTGCTGTCTGTATCATATCCAGTGCCACTATCACTTTTAATTTTGCCAGTTATTTTCTCTCCTGGAGCAAGACTCTGGGATTTACTTGAACTCAGTATGTGTGCAGAAGCTTGACTCTGATGAGCAACTCGGTCATGTTTACATGGTCCTTTTCCTTGACTATGATATAGATGTGGATTCCCATATTGCCTAAAGCCATGTGGGGCAGGAGGTGATCCAGACTTCAAATGTGGAAAGTCTTCATCAACCAAATCTTTAAAAATAAGTAAAGATACAAATTAACTACTCTTCAGAGCCACTTTTTTAGTCACAAGCCAAATATCTTGTTTGGGAAGAAATTTTAGGCAGTAATAAGTAAATAATAAGTATGTAAATTATATTACATAGTTCTTTGAGATTGAAAAAATGATCTCTAAAGTAAATCATAAAAAAATTAAAGCAGTTTAAAAAGTACTCTACCTCACTCATAATGAAAATCATAAAATATATTTTCTACCTTCTATATTGGTAAAGATTTACAAGTTTGTTAAACCAACTGCTGCTCAGGGTGTGAAGAAGTAGACATCCAACCACTGTTGGAGGGAGTGCAAACTAGTTCAATCTTTTAGAGGGGCAACTCAACCACATTTGTCATAATTCAAAATAAACACACCCCAACCCAGCAATTCTTCTGAACGAATTTTATGCTATGGCTATACAAAAAAAAGTATACAATGGGGGATCAACATATAGATCAAGTACAAAAATCAAACGAATATTCATATTTGACCTGATTGTTTATAGGTCATATTGCATGATCAAAACCGAAAGTTTCTGTGATGACTGCCCTTGTANAAAGATTCTAAATCACTTTTTAAAAGTCTAGCAGTAGCAACCAAATTACATTATGTTCATAAAGAAAAGAGCATAAACCATAAAGAAAAAGACATGCTCACAATGAACTAGACACTACTAACAATGCAACAGAGGGAATGTCAGGGGTTGCCGGAAAAGAAGATCTTCTCACTTAATTTTACAACCTTCCTTATTATTTGAATGTGCCAAAGGTGAATTGAATTTATAATTATAAGTCAAGTTAAAACATCAAAACAAACACAAAAATTTCAGTCTAGAATTAAATAAGAACCAGAAAAATTTTACATTTATAGATTTACTAGGTATATTAAAGAAATCATATTAAGATATACAATAAACACATTTACATAATAAATAAATGAAGAAATTAAAATGTATTAAAGCTATAAAATTGAGTTTAAAAATGAGATTTTACCCGCCCCTTTTCAAATGCATGCTATTAGTTCTTAACTTGCCTCTGTGTGGGCCCAAATCTTTTCTTTGACCTCTCTCCAAATCTTTCCTTTGTGAAGAAAGTAAATTCTTCTGTTCAATGGCCTTTAGAGCACATTCTCTAGAAATGTCTTTTATTTTTTCCCTTTGATCGCTGTGACTTGACTTAACTGTAAAATAAATCAGTCTTATAATAATGAATACAGACCACTTTTCAAATTCATCAATAAAAGTACAAATCGAATAAATGTTTTAAGATGCTGTATATTAAATACAAAATACAGATTAAAGTATATAACAAACTGATTTTTATGCTTAAAAACTACTACAGCTCTGAAAGCATGGAGAAACTCAAACACTGGTTAAGTCTAATTGTTCAGCTAAAACTATAGGTCTCAAGAGAAATGCGCACATTAAAAGGCAAAACTTTGTTACCTACTTGTTACTTTTTCTCCATGGTCATGGAAAACTAGTAAGCACCCTCCTTTTCCATGGTTACTTATCAGGAACTACAGACTCAATAAGTGAAGAAAGGGGAAGCTTAACTTCTCAAGGACAATGTAAAAATGACAACTTAAACATATACCTGGTCCTCTACCACCACTTGTTTGAATGTGGCTCCGATTCAATGATGAAGTATCTGTTGGAAATTTCTGATTTTCTCTCTGTTTTGCGTGATCACCAAATCCATTTTCTTTTGAATTATCTGACTTACAACTTGAAGGTTTTTCACATCCTTAAAAAGACAAACAAAAATGTACCTACCTCCCCACTTGAAGAAGAGATGTTTCTATCACCTTTGTAGACATTTTTAATAGTGTAGACAAAATTATGTAACAACTCAGAAGTATGACATTTTTTAAGGATTTCTACATGTTTTTCAATGCATCCAAAAATGGCCAGTGTGCTAAGTCACTTAAAATCTCAATACTGACTGCTAGAAAAAGCTACCAGCCAAGTATCACCTTCTGTGTTTGTGTGACCATAACAGTGGGGAGCTCCTGAGGGTGCTTCAGACACCACTAATCAGGAAATATTTCTTTATAAAGATTAATTCACAAGTATTAAAATTCTCCTGAACTCTGCTTCAACGAAACTAAATTTGAAATTATCTTCAACATTCATTTTTTATTTGGGATATTAGTATTCCTTGTGTGACTTGTGATGACAGAAAAACACTAATAAAACTAAAACAAAGAATTACCCATATTTTCTGCAATGGATTTATAACGTGACCAATTGACGACTTGTCTGAGTGCATCTTCAGTAGAAACTGCTGTGCCATCTGGGTTTGCATAAAACAAGAGCAGTGGCTGGAAGTGGCATCGGACACACTTGGAGACCACATCTTTCCATCTAGGTCCAACCTTTTAAAAAAAAACCACAGTGAATAAAAACAAAACCTTGTGATTAATGTGTTACATGAAAAGGCAAAGACTGAATTTCTCTGTATATTAAAAAATTTAAAGACATTCAGATATTAGCAGTTCAACTGTTCATCATTATATGATTAATTTTATTTTATTTAGTAACTAGTCTAAAAATCTTTTAAACATTTTGAAAACTGATGGACAGAAGTACATACTTTCTGTATCAAGATCTGGATTACTAAATTTTAAAAAGCTTTTCATATATATGGTTGATTGACTTTTGACAAGGATTTGAAGGCAATTTAATGGGAAATATAAAGAATCTATTCAAATGGTGCTAGAACAAGAGAAAAATGAAGTGTGACACCATTACACATGAGGCACAAAAATTAATGGTGAGTCACGGAAAAACTTTAAAGCTTACAGGAGAAAAGAGAAGAGAAAATTTTAACAACCTTGAGGAAGGTCAAGATTTTTTAGACAGGACATCAAACCACAGAAGAAAAAGTTATAAAATGGGCTTCATCAAAATGAATTAGTAACTTATGCTCTTTGAAAGATAACATTAAGAAAATGAAGAAAAACAAGCCACATACATCTACCTAATAATGGAGTGGTGAACAGAATCAGTAATTTCTACAACTCACTAATAAAAGATAATCCAATTTGAAAAAAATTGGGAAAACATCTGAACAGACACAGTGAGATGGTAATATACATCCACTAGTAAGATTAAAATTAAAAAACTATCAACTTGGAATCCTGCTGAGAAATGGAGTAACTAAAACTATCATAATGTAAATTGGTACAATGACTTTGGAGATCAATTTGCCAGTTCCTTGTAAAGATTAACATATGCTTACCACACAACCCAGAAATTCCACTTCTGGGTATTATCTAAAAGCAATAGAAAAAAAATACATTCACACAAAGACTGTTCATACGTCAACAGGTGAGTGGGTAAATTGTTATATAGCCATAAAGTAGAACACAACAACAGAAATGAAGCACCAATACACACAACATGAATGAATCTTAAAAGGCATTATGCTTACTTAGCACAGTAAGCCAAACACAGAATACCTACTGTAGAAGACCATTCATATAAAATTATTGAATCAGCAAAACTAATCTATAAGGAGATCAGTGATTTTTCCGGGGCCCAGGGAGAACTGGCAGTAAAGGGGCATGGTATAATTTTCTGTGGTGATGAAAATGTTCTACATAACGACTGTGGCGGTTACATCAGTGTGTATATAGGTATCAAAACCCAAAATGTACACTTAAAATAGGTACATTTTTATGTTTTTAAATTATACCTCTATGAAGTTGATTTAAAAACAAAACAAAACAAAACAAATACAAACAAAGCTTTCTTATTATACTGGCTTTTTCAGGGAAGGAAAATACAGAAGCCTTTAAAAATAAAGTCCAGAGGAGCCTTTCAAACTACATATTTAGCTGTTTATCCTCCTTACCTGAGATTCTCACATATTTGAGGAACTAAAGTAATCTGAAAACAGAACAAACATAAAAGTCACAGGGTGACTATACACCTATTTTTTCCTTCAAATTGACAATTTAAATTATGTGGAAGCAAACTAGGAGGGCCAGAATATTGCTACACACTGACTACGTCAAAATACTAAGTGACTCAAGTGAAGTGTTGATTTTCGAATACCAAAATTTTTTCATTGGCTTTACTGAGTATAATATACATGGATAAAAAAACCTATCCAGTTATAGTGTAAAAGTTGATGTGTTCTGACAAACTTATACAATCATGTAATCCTCACCCCCAAACTTCTTTTGCATCCCCCATACCCTTTGCAGTGCCTGACAACCAATAATATGATTTCCTGTCACTTTGCTTTTCTCTTTACTAGAAGTTTATGTAAGTGGAATCATAGTATTTAATTTTTTATATCTCACTTCTTTCACTTAGCATAATGCTTTTGAGATTTTTTTCCACACTGTTGCATGTATCAATTTCATTCCTTCTTACTGCCAAGTATTATATTCCATTCTATGCTTTTCCACAACTTATCAATTCACCTGTTGATGGACATGTGAATTTATTCATTAATAACCAAAACTGGAAACAAACTACTATGAACATTCAAGTACAAGTTTTGTGAGGACATGTTTTTTATAGGAGTGGAATTGCTAGATTGTACGTGTAAGAAACTGACAGACTATCTTCTAAAGTGACTATTCAACTTTGCATTTCCATCAGCCTTGTATGAGCAATCTAGCTGTTCCACATCTTGCCAACTCTTGGTATGGTTAGTCATTGTAATTTAAGCCATTGTTAATAGGTGAGTAATGGTAACTCATTGTGAAGTGAATTTGTACTTCTTTTGTGCCTAATAACATACTGAATATCATTTCAAGAGCCATTTATGTATCTTCTTTAATGAACTGTCCAAATCATTTACCCATTTTTAAACTGATTTGTCTTATTACTGAGTGTAAGAGTTCTTTATATATTCTAGATATAGCTTTTAATAGATATCTGTTTGGCAAATATTTTTCCTACTCTATGGCTTGCCTTTTCATTCTCCTAAAACTATCTTAAAAAAGAGAAAACGTTCTGATGAAGTCCAATTTATTGGTTATTTTTATGGTTCATGTTTATTAACTGTTATCTAAATAGCTCTCTCTATAAATAGCAGTTTTAACATTCTGCTGATATTTCCATTTCTGTCATTTTTTGACGTTTTTTTTTCTTGGTAATTTAATATTAGAGCTGGCCTGGAACTTACCCTGGGAGTAACCTGGTTATTACTCTGAACCATCATTTTCAAGATGCTGATGAAGTTCCTGAGAGAATAGAAGGTGTGCATTTCCCTACCTTGTTCTTTCACCCGTGTCATGTGATTAGAACAAACAGGATAGCAAAGCAGGTCAGTTTTTATTACTACTCCTTCAGGGTATAGGCCCTATATTCCTACTTCTTTGCATATTTGGTAATTTTTTATTGAATGCTATTTTGAAATAGAATAATGAAGTTTTACTGAATTTTACATTTTTGGGTGCTGAATTTTGTTGTGTTCCTTTATAAAGTGTTGGTCTTTGGGCATGTAGTTATCTGAGATCTGCACAGTCCTTTGAAGGCTCCATTTTAAGCATTTTATGTCAGATCCAGAGCAATATTCAACTTAGGGATAATTTAGCTCCACTATTGAAGTGATACTTTTCTGAGGATTCTACTTGATGCCCAACCTGTGTATTAGAATGTCTTTCTGCTCTTGGTGGGGATGCAAACTACTCCTAGCCTTGATCTGGGAATTGTCTGACCTTGTTTTCCAGTGGTTCTTTCCCCCACCTTGTGCAGGTTTGCCCCACACGTGGCAGGTCACTGTTCAGCCAAAGACTAAAGGGGACACCTCTGCCAATCTCCACAGCTTTCCCTTATGCAGCTTTCTCCCTGGTCATCTGTCCAGTGAATGTTAGCCATCCTGGCCTCCATGTACTCCAATTTCAGTTTCCTCACCTCAGTCAGATTACTGGGCTATGCGTGGATTCCTCCTCTCTGCACTGCAACCCAGAAACTACTTCTAGGCCATAAACAGAGTAAGTGTAGGGCTCATGTCTTTTGTTTCCCTTTTTTCTGTTCAAATTGTTGTCCAGTGTCTAAATAAGAGGTTTCACCTATTTGGTTTTCAAATTTTAATATTGGAGGGGCTATTTCCAAAGGAGTTAATCCTTCATGTGTGGAACTAGAAGTTCACTAAATACCAAATATTTGAACTTTCACTGACTTGACCATAGTACTGATAAATGGCCTATTGTTATATACATATATTAAAATGAAAGTAAATGGAATTGTACATCATTTGCTTACTTGAAATAACTTGTATTTTTTAATGAGTTTACTACTTAATAGGATTCTCAGAGCCAATTAAGCCTCAAAACAGTGTAGATAAGATCAACAGTCTTCAACTATAGCAAAATCTGAATCTCATATAGAACTTTAAAACAATTCAGATCCCTACTCCTACACCACTGAATCAAGAATTCAAAGTCCAAGTACATGTATTCTTTAAAAAGCTCCAAGATGATTCCAATGAATACTCCTTATTAAGAAGTATTATCCAATAGTTTTCTAGATATTGTTTGATTGAGTTATTTACCAGAAGATGTAATAGATATATTAAATTATAAATATCATACAAAATTTGAAAAGTCAGAAAAAAAACAAGCAGATTTTTGTCAGTAGTTATATAAAGCAGTCGTGAATCCTCTACAAAGAAATACATATAGCAACTTCATATCAGACAAAAGAACGTACATATGGATCACTTACAAGGACATATCTGCATACTAACATCTGTTAGTTGCCTTTTTATTATTCTAGAAATGGACTAGTTTAAAACTTGGCTTCAAAATAATCCAGATTTCAAAAATTAACAAAAGGAAGTATAAACTTAATGATGCTATGATCAAGTTCATTTGTTATTTTATATAAGTATTTTTATATCATAATCATTATTTTAAGTGTAATTATTTTTCACATATATTATATATATCCTTATTATATCATTTATTCCTAAGAAGTAAATATCCCAATAATTATTCCAGTTAGTCAAAGTGTCACTTACCTCTTTCACATTTGCATCATCAAAAAATACCCATTTGGAGCTCTTGGTATGAAAAGCAAAGGCACAATAATGTCGGCTGGTGTAACAGATCATACCAACTAGATGAAGTTCACTACTTTTGGCATTTTCGTCAGTAACCCTATAAAAAAGCTGTTTAAAAAATAACATATATTTAATACTTTATATTTTAAAAAAGGAGGAACAATAATTTTATGAGTCATGTATTTGACTATGTATGAAAAATATTTTTCATGAATGCTGCCCCAATTCAGTATTATATTAGTACTTGAAAACACCAGACACTGTCCTATTAACAGAAATACTGTTTTTAATTAGTCCCTAAGAAACATTAAATCTAATAAAATGAATTCATTACTATTTACTTCCGTAACATAGTCTCCGCAAATAGCACAGAATTAATGCTCTATGTAAATAAACTCAAAATGTGAGATAAATTACACATTTCCTGATAAATTTTTGATTGAATTGCATTATTTGAATATACATTAAACATATTACCTACATGATAATTATCTAAAAGTTTAATTGTAACATAAGGCAACTGAAATATGTGAATGACGGTAATAAAGCATATTGAGATCAATGCTATAGATGAATTTTAGACATTAAACCTTTCCAGATTAGTATTTATATTTATACTCATTTTCTTTCTCTCTCACACACACATACACACACACACACACCACACCATATAATCATCATTCTAGAATGATACAAGGATCGAGCATGACACAGTTTGTGACTGAAAGCCATTCCTGGTCTATGCAAGAAAGGCATTCCAAGTCAGGCTAATTTGATTAACTCAATCAGTTATAACTGAGTAGCATTTCCTTTAGAAAGAAAATTTAGTTCTGAAAAGAGTGCATTATAATATATGAACATGTTTTAGAGAAATGTAAAGACAAAGAGAATGAGAACAGTTGCGGTACCCCAGGAAGACAGAGATGTGTTGTTAGATTTCGAACAACATCTTCAGTCAAGTCAGAATGCTCAGAATCCCAGACTAAACCGATGGTAACAATCTCAGGGCAGTTCATTAAAACACGGTGAATTTTTATTTTTTGGCCACAGTTACTCTAGAGAAAAACACAAAACACCAAGTTTTAAAATTACAAAACAGATACACCACAGGTAATGCCTTACAGTTTGTATTACACAACAATCTTAACATCTGGGTATTTCTTAAGATAGTAAAATAGACTTTTAACAAACTATTTGTCTTCACACTATTGATTAAACAGGAAGTTTATCTTAAACCAAGTACTTTTCATTGTTGGTGTTTTTGTAAGATCTGTTAAAACAAGTATTCAACCTAAAAAAAGGCAGAATAAAACCTTTGCAGCCATTAATAATATTACATGAGAAAAGAAAGATACCATCATAATGTTATTTAAAGAAAAAAAGAAACTCTTTAGTCAAACAGTAGACTTCAGAACTTAAAAATACAGAAACATTAATATTCTCCGAATCACACTTACAGGACATTTTCTGTAGTCATCAGTTGTACTTGCTGCTTGCAACAATTCTGCAAACATTTCAGGCTTAAAGCGCTCGTGCCTTTCTATCATTCTTTCAACTTCATTGCTAGAAAAGAACGAAGCCATCCTAAATCTGGCCTATGAACTTTAAAAAGATCTAGTGAATTATACATGAAAAATACTAAGTTATCAATACAGGTGTGTCACTTTTTATCTTAAAACGTGATTTTGTCTGAAAAATTAACCATAAAGTAAAAAATTATAAAATTCGGCAGGAGTATGATGAAAAACACTAGATCAAGAATGGAATAAAATAACACAAAACTATACTATCATTTGGAACTACATGAACAAGGTAAGATGTTCCACCTGAAGGTAGTTCTAAGTCAAATGTTTCTTTTACATTATTATTTAACTGGGGACTTGAGTTTCAACTTTGGCTTAACAAGAACAACAAATCATAGGAAAAGCTCCCTCTCAGCCCTTAAATTTCAGAAACAAAGTTATCACTGTCAACTAAGAGATGGGTCCTTTGCTAATTAATGCAAAATCACAACCCAAGCTATTTAAGCCAGGCTTGTGCCTTTATGTTCCTATTATGAATGCTAACAATTCATTAGAGCCTAGGCAGGGTATCTATGATACTTTTCATTCAACCTTCCCTAGAATCAAACTTTTACCTATCAAAATATTAAGTATCTTTAAACAACTATTTAAACATCTCCAATAAGAAATGTAAAGTAAGCTCAAGTACCCTTACTAGCTTCCACTCTAGATGCTCAGGATCTACTTAAGAGTAATGTTAACTGTCCTAGAGCTGGACATATTTTACACTTCAGTGGCTTAAATAATATACAGTATTCAATAGCCACTAAAACTACCTATCCTCTAAAGTACTCCCCAAGTATACCAGAAAGCACTAAATCTGACAGGCTCATTCAAATTGCACTTAATGATTTTGCAAAACTGAAAGCATCAGTGTAGCAGTTACCCAAATTTTGAATGTGAACTGAAACCAAACCTGGGTTTCAATCTTAATTTATTCATTTATCAGATGAACCTTATAAACCTATTTTTCATAAATGAAAGAGTGTTTTTGTTAAAATTAAAAGCAACAATTTAGCCAGAACATAGCAAGCATTCAGTAAATCAGAACACAGTAATTTTACATGTTTCAAAATAGACTTTAAAGAATTTTAGTTTTTAATTTGTGGTCTTGTTCAAACAGTATCCTATTATTCATACAAAGTGAAAAAAATGAGCCTACAATTGACTAAAGTTTAGGGAATGTTTCTCTAATCCAATGTTTTCCAACTCTGTTTATATAAAAATGATACTAAACACACCCAAATAACCAAATTGTTACTATTCAATACTCTTTAAGAAATAATGTGTTATATCTAAAAAAGCCTAGAAGTTTAATAATATAATGAAATGGATGACCATCTAATATTTACTTTGCACAGTGAAAGAAATATTGGTAGCATTTAGTAACTGTTGTACTAATGTACTCTGATAATTTTATTGAAACATACTTTGTCTTTTGTATTAAGATAATCTACAAATAGTTACTATCTTATTCAATGTTATCATACATCAAATATTCATACTCTCAAATATCTGTTAGAAAAATTCTTTTTATGTAAAATCTAGGGATCATTTTTGGATCTAACTAGCTAATGTTTTATGGACAGGGAGAGAGGACAGAAGGGAGCAGACAGACATGGCAAATTTTTATTTTAGGTGAATGTTGAGAACTTAAATGCAATAAACCTAAAGGAGGATTATTTTCTTTTTATTCTTTCTTTTCTGCTTACTGTAGCTTCTACCACCATGAAGTGACATGATAGAGCTGACAGGAGGCATGGCCACTACAAAGGTAACACACCTTAGCAAAAATGAAGAAATCATGCATACCATTTACCATTGAGCTTGCCATTTTAAGCTCACCTTCACAGCTCCAAAAACTTGCTATAGATATAGATATAAATTTTGACTAATAGTTTGTATATTTCATTAAGTGTTATATATATTTGACTAAATCAGAAACATGCAACTGTAACAGATATCATTTTGTACTTCTGGTGGTAGCATTATTTGTGACTCTCAGAGTATATATTCACATGTGTTGTGGTTTAATAAATGTTCAATGTGCTTAAATGTGTTATTAACATCTTTGGTAAATATACTTTAATAGGGTCTTACCATAGGGCTGTTGTAGAAATGTACCGCACAAATTCTGTAAAAGGTAGAGGATCTGATGATGCTCCACAGCTATGACACACACACTACAGATAAAAATAGGTTTAATTTATCAACCATAAAACATAAATATAATATCTAATAAAATAGTTAAGCCATCTCACCTGTTCATACAGAGTCATAGCAAACTTCTGGTGAGTGATACAAGATTTAGAGGTACACATGTCTGCATCTCTGCTTGGCACTATGTGAAAATGAATCCTCTCCAATATATTTTCCTAATTTAAAAAAATAAAAGACAAATGAGTTGTGAATCTTGCAGAGGATACTTCAAAATAAAACTCTTTTTAACTTTACAAACTTAAAAATCTTTTTGAGATTATCCAGTGTTAAATTTAAGAGTGCCAAACTTATTGTCAGCTTTTCAGCTTTACTCTTTAATCAATCCTTCAAATGTTCAACTATTTACCTGTGTAGTGTTAGCTTTAAAAACGTTTTCAATGAAAGAAACATTATAATGTAGGATATGATTTTTTAATCAAGATTTTTAAAGTCTTTTAAAAAATCATCTCATGGTGGCTGACATCTAGAAATAATAATCTTTAAAAATTAAAGATGGAATAGAATTCTGTTCTTTAGAAATATTAGAAAATAGTTTCCTATTATTTCTAGCATTCTCACATTGAGAATTTAAAAATAAAAATTTTTTAATATTTTTAATATTTTAAAAATCCTACCTGGATCATCTGGACAGTCTATATAAAAATATCAGTGACAAAATGTTATAATACTGAAGGGTAGGGAAAACACTGATCTACTGAGCTGTTGTGATAGGTTTCTTTTGTTATAAATTTATTGTTTCATTTATCTCAAAATTTGCATCATTTAAGGAAAACAAATTACTATCCCAACTAAAGGATTATCAGAAATACTTACAAAGCACTCTGCAGCATCATCCATGAGGCCAAGCTGAAATCGCTGTTCATCTTTGAAGCTTTCTGCAAGAGCATGCCTTATGTTATCTGAAGGAAGTGCTTTCTCTCGACTATGTTGAAACTGTGCAAATATTGTCTGGGAATCAGTAAGTACATCAGTAAGCTTAATGTTAACAACTACAAAAGCAATTCAATAGTTTCATTACAATATAGTGAAAACTCAAAACACTATACTCAGAAAGTAATATAAAGTCTTTCACTCTAAAGTTCCACACAAAAATCAATTATTTGTAATAGTAATGTGTAGAAATGTTACCCCACTCTCTAAATCAATGTTCGTGTGTATAAGAATTAAAGATGTAGTGTTTTCAGGTCCCATAGATTCTGACTAAGCTGAGGTGAAGCCCATTTTTAAGCTGTTCCACTGAGAATTCTGTCTGATCCAAGTTGTTTAAATGAGAGTTTTGAGAAAGGTGCCTTAAATCTAAAGGTATACTTTTGGAATTAAGATTATGTTAACCAAAAATAAAGATATAATCACAAAAATACTAGTAGGAACTCACTATTCTTAACAAAAAAAGAAAAAGCTAAACGAACTTTTAGAATTTGTTTCTCAAAAAAAATGACAGACTAATGGAATAGTAATTTCCCACTATCATTAAATTTGCTTTTTAAAAATGAAAATGTACACTTTACAAGATTAAGAGAAAAAAGATAATCACTTTTAGTTTTCTTTTAAAAAAAGCTTTTTGTTTTTAAGTTATCAGTTTCCCTCACTTAGAGAATTATTTGAACCTAAGTCTGAGAAACAGAGGAAACATCATTCAAGAATATGTGATTTAAAAGTGTTAACATGGTTTTCTATTTTCCTTATTTAATTTAAGAAGAAAAAACTTTTATAAGTCCCAGTTTTATGACAATCATCTTGGTGGAGGAAAGTGGAGAAAAAATAGGTTTTCAATGACAACCCACTAAATAAGGATTATTCATATTAAGTTCTGTATTAACTAGCTCATGGGGTATGTTATCTCAAAAAAACTTTTTTTTAAATCAAATTATGGTAGAATAGGAAAATACGTCAAGAATCTATTCCACTACTGTAAGAAAATCAAATTTACAAATAAGCAATTAAAAAATAAACATGCCAAATGAAAAGACATTCAGTACTATATATTTTTTAGCTGTAGTTATGAAGACTAAAAAATGAAAAATATTTTCAGATGTCATTTCTTATTCAGGCAATTAAATTTTCCAGATAATGTTTAAGAGATTAAACCTACATAAAATTGTCATTCATTCATTTGACATTCATTTTTTGATTGCCTAGTATATGTGAGGCATTTCTACACTAGAAAACAAAAGACACTGCCTTCATGGAGCATACATTTTAGTTGCACTAAGGAGAAAGTACATACGTAATTATATGTCACAATGTGGTAGGTTCAATAGAGAACGATAAAGAAGTGTAAGAGAGAGAGGGATGCTGGGAGTAGGAGAGACACGGAGTACCTAGGGCACTCAGGGGAAGGCCTCACTGATGAAAAATAACATTTGAAGAGGTATAAAGCAAATAAGGGTGTCAGCCATGAAGACATCGGAGGAAGAAAAGTATTCCAGACAAAAGGAATAACAATGCAAACACTCAGAGATGTAAACCAGTTCTAAGAAAATACAAGGAGGCCAGTCTGGCTAAAGTGAAGTGAGATAGTGAGATAGGCAGGTAGGTGGGTGGGTGGGTAGGTAGACAGGTAGATAGATATAGAGAGTTTTGGGAGGGAATCAGGGGAAAGAAGCAGGTAATTGTGTAAGGCTATATATGATTTATAATAGGAAATTTAACTATACTGGTTTTTACATTTGGATGAAATATTTCAAATTTACTGTGAAGTAAAATGTGATCCTGTATTTTGATACAACCCCTAACAATAATCCTATTTTGCCACATTCTAAAAAGGTGTGGATGTAATTGCCTCCTTTAGTCATGTACTCAGTCTTTTCAGGAACATAAATCAAAATAAAGTATGAAAATGGTTTTTTAAATTTTCCTATATGTATGTATGTGCATGTGTAAGAATATTGGAAAATGTAAAAGAATGAAATGTTTACCTCTGAAAATATGTTAATAAAATTTTACATCATTGGGTAAAAACTTCAGTGATATAAATGAGTTGCTAATATATACTGGACTTCTTGTTTCTGCCTTTATCTCTCTATTTATTCTCACCCAAACAGCCAGAGATCCAGTCCAAACATTATATCTAGTTAGAAGTGATTATATCGCTCCTCCACTCAAAACAAACCCAAGACTTCCTAAATCCCTCAAGAGGAAAAAGCCAAGTCCCCACAAAGGCCTAGAAGGTCCTACACCCAGTCTGGACTCCTGTTCCAGTTATTTACTGCTCTATAAAAAATCACCCCAAAACTTAGTTACTAAAAACAACATTATTTTCATCACAAATCTGCAGTTTGCATGAGGATAGCTAGACTCTGCTCCACTTGGGAGTCACCTGAGACAACCTGAAGGCCTGGATCTGCCACCATCCAAAGGTTGCTCACTAAACCACAGCAGCTGACACTGGCTGTTGGTGCTCCCGCTTAGCTGTGGACCTGTGCAGACACGGCCAGTTTGGCTTCCTCACAGCATAGCAGCTCATTTTCAAGAATGAGTACCCCGAGAGACAGAGCCAGGTGGAAACTCCATCACCTTTTTTTAATCTAACCTAACCTCAGATGTCTTCAGCATCGTTTCTGCCACATTAAATTTGATGAAATGAACAATTAAGGCCAGCCTAGTCAAGGAATTAGACTCTATCTTTTGATAGGAAGAGTACACAAGAATTTGCAGACAAAACTGCCATGACTCACCTTACCTCTAAGCTCATGTCCTATGCTACCCCACTTGCTCACAAAGCTCCTGCCACCTAGGTTTCCTTGAATATGCCATGCACACACCCCAGCCTTTGCCACCGCTGTTTCCCTGCTTGCTTGGAATGCTCTAGTCCACTCAACATCTTTTCCAGGTCCTGAGTGAGACCTTCTCAGTGAGGATTTCTTGGCCACTCAAAGCTCTATTCCCTTTCTGTGATTTATTTTTCATCCTTTGCAATTATTGCCATCTAACATACTTCACATTTTGCTTACTTATTCTCTCTTCCCCCACAACAATATAAACTACACGAGAACAGGGGTCTTTATTAATTTTGTTCACTGATATGTCATCAGTAACTACAGCAGTGCTCAGATTTCAGTAGCAGCTAAAAAAAACTGTTAAAAATATATTATTTCAAAATAATGAAAAATGTAATGTTCCTAACAATTTTATATGATTTAGAATATTAATTTTAACTGTCCTTATATAAAAGTGGAAAATAAAAATATAAATCTGAATAAATCATACTTTAAGAATTTATCTTCAACACTATGAACCACCTGACAATGAACTTTAATTATAATAAACTAACAAACATGTCAAACCAAACAAATAAACTATCAAATAAAGTTAAAGTTTTGGAGATTTTTGGAGAAACAATTAGCAGTAATTTTTCAGAACTATTAAGAGGTTTACCTTCAATGCACAAAATATGCAGGCATCTCCCTGACAAACATGTCCAGTTAGAACCCGCAGGCTTCTTCGGAATATATCCAATTGCCACAAAACCTAAACAATAGGGAGAAATAAAACAAGAAAGAAATACAAAATTTTCTCACATAAATAAAAGACAGATTTTAAATGTTTAAAATTTCAGAAATCTACTTTTTAATCTTGTGTACATAATCAGACATATACAACAACTAAAATAGCAAATGTGAAACTGTTATATACATGTAGTGTACATATAAAAGATGAGTTTAGAAGATATTGCTACTGTTTCACAGGTAAAACTATGACAGCCATGAGCAAGAAAAAACTAAATCCTTAGTTAAGCATTTTATATGAACAGGAAACATGGATACTGAATAGAGAGAGGACTTGGCAGGGACATGAAAGAGGAAGTGATTATAATTCTTGGAACAAACTGAAACTTAGGAAGGAAATATAATTGGAGTTGAAAGCCAGGGTATACCAAGTAAGGGTCACTAGGTAGCAGCAAACAAAAGGGTGAGCAGAGGTCTGTGTGGTTATTGTATACTGAATGAAAAGGGGGCATCTGTGTGGTCACAAAAGTACAACACGGTGAGAAGCAGTAGTTAATGAATAATCTGAATATATTTGCTACAATTACCACTTATCATTTGCTACTAAAAGAGAAGAATAAAATAAACAGGATTCTAATTGTTTAAATAAATCAGTCTAGTACTTATAATCACCCTAAAAAATCTGAAATCTGTACAATGGAGATAACTGTGACTGTCTCATGGCAATCTTGTATGGATTAAATAATATGTAATGATACATAAAGTGTTCAGAGCAGTACCCAGTATGTAACAGGCATGTAATGAATGCCAACTGATATCTGTTGCTATAATTACTTTTACAATTAATATCTTTAAGTTTTCCTATACTTCTCAGTCATTCCCTCATATAATGTAACTTCATTCCCTCATATAATGTAAGTAAGAAAATCCATTCATAATCTTTCATTTCTCTCAAGTAAAACAAACGTTAATGAAAATAAATGATTTTAACTAAGTTTCCTATATTTTCAATTAACAACTAATGGTCATTTCAGAGTTTCCCTTTGATAGTTGCTTTTCCTTAATGCATTATTAATAGGATCCATTTATCACAAAAAATTCAGTATTTTGCAAAGCACTTGAAAGGGTTTAATAACTTTCTTGCATATCATATCCTATCATGTCATACATATACTACACTGAAATTCATTCAATTGTCAAGATAAAAATCATGACAGCACAATCTTGGGAAGGAGCATAGCAATGTGATTAATAATATAGCCTCTAAAGGCAGGCTGACTGGGTTCTAATTCTGGCTTTGTTGTTTACCAGCTGACATAGGCCAAATAATTTCTGAAACTTAGTTTTCTCTTTAGTGAAATGAAGATAAAAACAGCACATATGTAGAACTGCAGTAAGAATTAGGTAAGATAAAACATGTAGTATTCAGAGAAGTGTCTAGCACATAGTAACAGACAATAAACATTGATTTTTAAATATTATAACTTTGATTTTACCTTAGAGAATTTAAAACCACACCAATACATATTTACTAATTGTACTGCTTTCTCATCAAAGTTTAAAATATTCAGCCACAAGAGAAACCCTTTATGATCTATTTCTATGGCTAGTGAAGTGAGTCTTTTAATGTAACTGGAATGTTTTCCATGATTAGCAAAATGTTTAAGTTATACTGGACCCGAATTACAGAAAAATATTTTATGTGACTTCTTTATATACTATTCAGTGTAATGTTTTAAAACCTATTTTTAAGAAGTAGATATCAAAATTATTTTAATTATAGTTAATCCTTACCCTATTACATTTTAAAATGATGACTGATTATAAACAATGGGTCAAAAAGAAATCAAAGAACAAATGAAAAAATACCTTAAGGCAAATAAAAATGAAAACAAAATTTTCCAAAACCCATGGGTTGCAGTTCTAAGAAGGAAGTTTATAGGGATACAGGCCTACCTCTAAAAACAAGAAAAAGGATAAACAATCTAAATTTACATCTAAAGAACAAAGCCCAAAGTTAGTAGAAGGACTAAAATAATAAATATCATAGTTGAAATAAATGGAATACAGGCAAAAAAAAAAAAAAATCAAGAAACTAAAAGCCGGTTCTTTGAAAACATTAACAAAATTGATAACACCAGCCAGACTCATCAAGAAAAAAACAAGAGAGGGCCAAATAAATAAAATCAGAAACAGAGAATTTACAACTGACACCATAAAAATACAAAGGATCATGAGACTACTACAATTATATGTCAACAAAATGGAAAACCTAGGATAGATATACTCCTAGAAACACACTATCTTCCAAGACTGAATCAAGACAAAATAGCAAAATTTGAATAGACCAATTACAAGTAATGCAATTCAATCAGTAATTTTAAAACTCAAAAAACTCCCAAAACCCAAAAGTTCATGAACAGAGGGTTTCTGGTGAATTATACCAAGCACTTAAAGAGTTGGTACCTATACTTCTCAAATTATTCCAAAAAATTGAAGAGGAAGGAATGCTTCCAATTCATTCTATAAGGTCACCATTACCTGATACTGAAACCAGACAACACCACCACAAGAAAAAAATTAGGGGCCAATATCCCTGATAAACAGATGCAAAAATCCTCAAAAAAATTAGCAAACTGAATTCAAGAACACATTAAAAGGATCACAAACTACAATCAAGTGGCATTTACTCTAGGGATGCAAGGATGGTTCAACATCTGTGAATCAATCAACATGATATACCACATTAACAATATGAAGAGTAAATATCATATGATCATCTCAGTATATAAAGAAAAAGCATTTGACAGAATTCAACATCCATTTATGATAGAACTTTTAACAAAGTGAATACAGAAGAACATATAATAAAGGCCATATATGACAGGCTGACGGCTAACATCATACACAATGGTGAAAAGCTGAAAGACATTCTGCCCAGATCAGGAACAAGAAAAGCAAATAAAAGGCATCCAAATTGGAAAGGATGAAGTAAAACTGTCACTATTTACGGATAACCTGGTACTAAATATAGAAAACCCTATATGCCACCAAAAAACGATTAGAATTAATAAGTGAATTCAGTAAAGTCACAGGGTACAAAATTAATGTGCAAGATTCAGATACAAGTCTATATACTTAGAACAAACTATCAGAAAGAGAAATTAAGAAAATCCCATTTACAAATGCATTAAAGAAGAAAAAGCTTAGGAATAAATTTAACCGAGGAGGTGAAAGACCTGTATAGACATATCTCAGAGATATTGCAGGTTCAGTTCCAGAACACTGCAATGAAGAAGTGCATACCACAATAAAGCCAGTCAAATGATTTTTTTGTTTGCCCAGGGCACATAAAAGATATGTTTATACTATAGTCTATTAATAGGGTATATGTTTAAAAAAAAAACAATGTGCATGCCTTAGTTAAGAAGTACTTTTTTACTAAAAATAGCCAACAATCATCTGAGCTTGCAGCAAGTCATCTTTTTGCTGGTGTAGGTTTTGCCTTGGTGTAGAGAGCTCCTGACTGATCAGGGTTGGGGCTGCTGAAGGCTGGAGTGACTGGCAAGTTCTTTAAATAAGAAAACACTGAACTTCGCTGTACTGATTGACTCTTCATGAAGAATTTCTCTGTAATATGCATGTGATGCTGTTTAAGAACATTTTACCCACCACAGAACCTTCAAAATTGTAGTCAATCCTTTCAAATCTTGCTATTGCTTTATCAACTGCATTTACATTATATTCTAAATCCTTTGTTATCAACATTCACAGCATTTTCACCAGGAATAGATTCCATTTCAAGAAACTACTTTCTTTGCTCATCTGTAAGAAGCAACTCCTCATCCAATTAAGTTTTATTATGAATTGTAGCAACTCAGTCACATCTTCAGGCTCCACTTCTAATTATAGTTTTCTTGCTATTTAAAGTCTTGAACCCCTCAAAGTCATCTGTGAGGCTACAACTTCTTCCAAACTCAATGTTGATATTTGACCTCTTCCAATAACCAAGAAAGTTCTTAATGGCATTAGGATAATGAATCTTTTACAGAATGCACCTTTTCAATATATTTTTTCCAGATCCATCAAAGGAATAACTATCTATGGCAGCTACAGCCTTCAAAACTTATTTTGTAAATATTAAGAATTAAAAGTTGAAATTACCTATTGTTTCATGGGCTGAACAATGGATGCTATGTTAACAGGCATGAAAACAACATTCATCTCATTGTACATCTCGATCAGAGCTCATGGGTGACCAGGTGCACTGTCAAAGAGCAGTCATATTTTGAAAGCAATCTTTTTTTCTAAGCCTTAGGTCTCAACAGTGGCCTTAAAATATTCAGTAAACCATGCTATAACAGATGTGCTGTCACCCAGGCTTTGTTGTTACATTTCTAGAGCACAAGTGGAGTAGATTTAGCATAATTCTTAAGGGCCCTGGAATTTTCAGAATGGTAAATGTGCACTGGCTTCAACTTAAGCTACATTAGTCCCTAATAAGACAGTCAGGCTATTCTTTGAAGCTCTGAAGCTGGGCATTGATTTCTCCTCACTAGCTATGAAAGTCCAAGGTGTCATCTTTTTCTAATAGAAGGCTATTTTATCTAAACTGAAAAATCTGTCATTTACTGTAGCCACCTTCATTAATTATTTTGGCTAGGTTTTCCAGATAAGTTGCCACAGCTTCTACATCATCACTTGCTGTTTAACTTTGCACTTTTACATTATGGACATAAATTCTTTCCTAAAACCTCATGAATCAACCACTGCTAGGTTCTAATTTTTCTTTTACAATTTCCTCATCTCTCTCTGTCTTCATAAAAATTTTAAGAGGGCCTTGCTCAGAATTAGGCTTTGGCTTAAAGGGAACATTGTGGCTGGTTTGATCTTCTATCCAGACTACTGAAACTTTCTCTGTATCAGCAATAAGTCTGTTTCTCTTTCTTAGCATTCATGTGTTCACTGGAGTAGCACTCACTTGACTCACAAAGTCAAGAACTTTTCCTCTGCATTCACAAC